TTACAACATTTAGCATTCAACTTCCTAAATTATACTTTACTTTTTGCTCTCTATTATCTTTTTTACCAATAGCAATAATCTAATTATTACAATTCTACTATATTTAATCCTGTATATCCACACTATTAAATACATAATGAAAATACAGCACGTGCATTGCACGTACCTAAACTAGTAATTAACAAGAAATGGCATAGACTATTAAGTCAATTAATATTAATATATAGAATTTATAAAAATAATAAAAGTATATATACAATTAAAAAATTTTAATATTACATATTTGTTTGCTCTTTATTTTTCCAAAATACATTTTTTTCTCTTTTAATTTCGACCACACATTTTTCAATAAAATAATATTATATACAAACCCAAAAATATTTCTCTATTTTTAAGCAAACATTCTCCATCAAATCACTACTCCAAAATACCTTTAAAAAAAAAAAAAAAAAATCAGAACCGTCACAAGACCGTTCTGAACGCTACAGGCGCAGCAGCAGGCACAATTTTTAATATTTTTATTTTTCAAACCGGGTCAGCGGTTACACTTGAACCGGCCCGGGTGCGGGAAGCTCACGATTCGGTCTACACGGATCGTGGGTCGATTCACCTCCGAGTGGGCCTGGGCGGCCCGCCCATCTTGACAAGTCTAAACACACCCACCTCCATCCCTAGCCACAAAACTTACTATAGAACAACCTCCGACCACTACCCATATTCACATACTTCAATCCTCTTTGCAAATGTGCAATTGGTGTCACAATTGGGCTCACATAAGAAAGCAAATCACCTTTTAATTTACACAACAAGCACAAAGAAAGAATGGTTTAGTTACCTGTAGATTTGAAGGAAGTGGCTATGGTGGTGCAATTGGCTTCACTAGCACAAACTATGGCGGTGCAATTGGACTCCAACTGTTAATTTTTCAAAGGTTTGAGACCTTCGCCAGCACAAACTAAAGATTAGGGTGTGCTAAAACCTACAGATTAAGGACTGCTACTGCAATTTTTCCTAAATTTAAAATTAACAACAAAATGCACAATAAATTTGATTTTTTCAAATGATGAAAATAATTTAAAATTCTACAAAAATATATTAAAATTAAATTTAACTGTTTAATTGAGTAATCATTTCTCTCGTGATCGACAATTTGGACTCATTTGTCCATTTTATTACTTTTACATGATTCATTCGTTTGCGGTACACATTTTTTAACGAACAACAGATCGACTCATTTTTATATGCTCAGTGGTTAAAATTTGACCACTTCAAAAGTTCGATGAGCAATCGAAGGCGTAGCAATTTATTAATGGCGTGACAAGGCACCACGTGTGCATTTCGTTATTTACGTCACTAATTCTGTTAAAAGTTTGAAACAGATGTTATACTGCGAGTAGCATCCAACGTTTGAATAAGTTTAGTGGTCAAAACTTGACATCTCAAATTTCAGTGAGTAATCGAAGCACGGATATAAGTTAAATGATGATTGTGACAATTAACTCGAATCAATCAAGGACTAACTCGGTTGTAAGAACAAAGTCTTATCATGTTAGTGACTTGGGTTTGAGTCACTTAAGGGAATGGTGAAATTAAAAAAATTAAAACATGTGTTGTGTGAATATAATATAATTACCTATAAAAGAAATCTTTTTGGACTGTTTTAACTCAGTGACTTTGAAGCACTGTTTCCAGTGGTGCGGCGGCGACGGCATCGTCCTACCAAGAAAAAGAATAATGAAGAAGCTGAGATGGGTGATGGATGGAGGGTTCTGGGACGTGGATGTGTCAACGCCGGTGACCCTTGACGGCGTAGCCCGCCCTGTTCCCGGCGACCCACTCCATTTGGGGATTTCTCGTGGGCAAAGGCTCTCTCGTCCCAAACAGATTGATTTCTTCCAGCGCTTCATGTTTATGCCTTTAGTGCCGTCCTTTTCCCACTATGGAGATGTAGGCCTCTCTCTTCAACGCGTCTTCTCTCTCTATCGCGAAACCTGGTACTTTCCCCTTCGCCCATTTGATTTTAACTGAGCATTTCTGTATTCTTCCCTGGAAGATTGTGAAATTAGCCATATAATACTTGAGTTTTGTCAATTTTATAGTTCCATGTTTCCTTTCCACTGTAAACTTCTTGTAGGACTTGTAGAAAGAAATGGATAGCATTAGTTATTATACAGGGAATATTGGGAGTGGGGGACTCAGAAGAGACTAATTTTGTTTATTTTTTTGGATGTGGTTCTTGTCTGTTTATTCCACATGACCCTATTAGAGTTGCCCACAATATAGCTTCTTTTACTACTTCACTGGTTTAATTGTATTCCTTCTTTTAATGTGATGTTTGTTCGTGCTGATTCATTAATATAATCATTGATTGAATTTCATAAAAAAATAAAACTGTGCACAAGGAACACATTCAAAATGTGTCCTTGCTGGTAAATTTAAAGCATTTCAGACCTCTGTTATATCTCCCTATGATATATATATACATTAAAAGAAAAAGACAAAATATTCTTAAAACTCACAGATGGAATTACATTTTACAAGGTCAGTAAATTGTTAAAGAGCAACCATTTAGTTCCTTTTTTTTGTTTTCCTTACTAAGTCAACATGGAGGAGTTGAAATTGACTGATATTAGCTTCAAAGTCATGCAGGTTTATTACGTTACTTGGTCAGTTCAATGTACAGAAGTTTGTGACTTCCCTCAGGACAAATGGGTTCAGGCGAGAGTCAGATTCCTCGTGGTTGCAAAATATTAGGAGGCATCTTTCTGATCAATCTTTCTATGGACTCAATTTTTGTTCAGAGTTGTTGTTAACACCGGATGATGTATTGACACTTAGCTTAGAAACACATGGTGATCAAAAGACTCCTCGAAAAAAAGCAGTACTTCATCACAAGGCAAGCGTGTATGACTATTGATCTCTAAATTAAACTTGTACTCTTTTTGATGGACGATTTCTATAAACCTTTATCATCACTATATTGGTAAACGGTTAGTCATAATGTTGCTTGTGAGTGAGGAAATAACATTTACCTGATGTACTTTGTATCAAACTCTTTTTGGCCCTTTCAGGTATTTATTTCTCTTAATTGGTTTGTTAATCCTTTTTTGTAGAACTATATTACATGGGCCCTTTTTCTTTTATGGCTGTGAAATTCTCTTTCTTGTGCTTATTGATCAGATATTTCTTTTGTAGTTCCAAACTATGTTACACAAACCCTTAATGCATCTCCTAAGTGACTGTCTCAAACACAACACTCAGACTATGCAATGGCAAACAGATGCTTCATTTTTAGCATTAATGGTAGATGTTGATGGATCCAATTCTTTTATGCATGCCCATACCCAACTCCTGTACCCAAACTATTAGAACTTTTTATTATGTTCTGTTTCATAATGGTGAAATATAGACTTACATATTGAAGATTCACGGTACACATATGATCTTTGCCATGCTTGATAATGCTTTATGATTTCCTTCGCAGTTTCCACTTCATAATCTAACTGTGGAGGCAGCTTCCCCCGCTCTTTTTGTTGATCAGCATGGTAACTACTGGGACGTTCCATTCTCTGTCTCAATGGATCTTGCTCCAGTTGCTTCTGATTCTGGTACAAGCTGTCGTTTCTGCATCAACCATACAACAGGTATACCAAAACCATATGAAGGCCAGCCGACTAGCAGAGTTCCTGTTACTTTACTTCCAGGTCTCTGTACAAAATGTGCAGTTTCATTCAAGAAAAATGTCGACATTTGGAGAAGTGAAGCACCAAAAGTGAAAATGGTGCAACCATATGACATCTTCCTCTCTAGCCCTCATATTTCAGCATCAGGAATCCTAGGTAAGAACAGGCAGCTTTGTGACTCTTGAAAGTTGAAAGTATAATATAATAGTGATCAATACCTACCTATCTTAAAAGAAAATCCTGTATGACTGCTGTCGAGGCTTGTCCAAAAGTTTTTTAGTTATCTTTTATTGGGTTAATAAAACTTCAATGTCGGAGAATTCTAATTTTCATTTAAGGCCTAATTTCTTTGAGTAATGATCGAGAATACGGGCAATTTATCCTGTAACAACCCAAAGTAAGGATGCATGTTATGGCACAAATGTGATACCTAAATGCTTAGTTCTTATTTTTTAACCAAATCATTTTTAGTAGTAGTTATTTAGCTTAACATAACGATATTTTCATCAGTTAACTATGCTTCTCTGACATCTCTATAAATGCTGTGTTAAGTCTTCATTCTTTTCTTGATTGTACGTCCTTGGCACTGTAGGTGCTGTCTTCACTGCATCTATTGGAGAGAATTCAATCAGAGCCCAAATAGAAGATGGATCATTGAGTTCAAAAGGCTTCAGTCTTCAAGCCAGAGGAGCAAATTCTGCAATTTTAGCTGATTTATTTGCAAGTGCATCCCTCTCTGCTCAACATGGAAATTTCCAGAGGTTGTTTCTAGACCTTACTCAATTTTATGCACGGCTAGATATTCCTTCTGGATCAAAATTCCTGTCTGGTGCCACACGTCTGGCATGTGATCTTTATAATTCTCAAACACCTACTACGCAAGCAGTTCAGGCAATTTGTCCCACTGCCTCGCTTTCGTTTCAGCAGCAGGTACTTAAAAGTAGCATTACTGTCTTCTTGTTATCACTCACAGTAGGTTATTCACATTTTCTCCCTCTGTATGCCTACCTAAATGGCTAAATGCAGATTGCTGGACCTTTCAGCTTCAGAATTGATTCGGGAGTGACAATTGATCTGAAGAAAGACTTTTATTTAAGTGTGAAGGATCCCGTATTTGCTGTCGAATATGCCTTGCAAGTTCTTGGTTCTGCAAAGGCTATTGCTTGGTATGCGCCCAAACACAGAGAGTTCATGATAGAGCTAAGGTTTTTCGAGACTTGAAAAAATATATTTCTATACTTTCTTTTGGGTTTTCTCGAGTATTCCATTTCAGTGTATTTACTGTTGTAACCATTAACATTGTACCGTATTCATGCATTGTTATTTGGAAGAGAATTAATAGAATCTCATAATTGGCTGAATTCAGAAACCCATTTTCCATCTCATTGATGATTGAATTTATACATGAGTTTAAAGAATAAAATAGTTACAATGACTGGAGAGAAAATATAACAAATTCTTCTTCTGTTACAACTCAACATTCTGTACGATTGTGTGAAGGTTCAGCTGCGATATTTGTTGATGACATGTCCAATTCTTCTTTTGATGAGATGGCAAAATGCTCTATGTTGATACGCACCCTCGAGTCCAAGGGAGTGTCAATGACTTTGAGACTCGATCTGAGCTTGAAGAACCTGTCAGCTACCAAGTACATCTGTGAGTTGATCTTTTGAGATTATGAAGGGGCAATGGTCAGGGACTTGGTTGCTACCCTGTCTCTAACAAAATGGAACTCAATGTCTACATGTTAGGTCCGTGAATGATAAACATGATTAGCAGCAAGATAGGTGGCCCCAATGTTATCACACCATAGTGTTGGAGCCCGTGACAAGGGTAGTCCAAGTTCTGAAATTAAGGTATGAAGCCAAATGATCTCAGCAGCAGAGGCAGCCACAACTTTGTACTCAGCTTCTGTATTGGATCGAGCCACCGTTTTCTGTTTTTTGAGCTCCAAGAGATCAAATGTCTGCCCAAATAAATACAATATCCCCAGGTAGGTAGATTTCCTATCATCTAGGCACCATGCCCAATCCGCATCAGAATAGGCTTGAAGTTGAAAAGAGGACTGTAAGGAGAAAAAGAGACCATAATTGATGGTTCTTTTCAAGTAACGTAAAATTCGTTTGACTGCAGTCCAATAGGGTAGCTTAGGTGTGTGCATAAATTGACACACCTTGTTTACGGCAAATGCAATGTCGGGTCTAGTGAGGGACAGGTACTGTAAACCCCCAACAATACTCCTAAAGAGAGTAATATCATCAAAAGATGGAGAATCAAACTGTGACAGTCTCAAGGAAGCAGCCATAGGTGACGAGGCTGGCTTAGAATTCAACATTTGACTTCTAGTTAGGAGATCCTTGATGCACTTCCTCTGAGGCACTAGAATGCCAGTGGACAAATAATTTATCTCCAACCCAAGAAAGTATGATAGGACCCCTAAGTCTTTAACGGGAAATGCTATACTTAAATCTTGAACAAAAGTATCAATGACAGAGGCCTTAGAGGCAGTGATAATAAAATCATCAACATACACAATGAGATAAATGTACAAATTACTAGAGTTAAGAACAAACAAGGATACATCATCTTTTGAAGCAAAAAATCCATAGGAAAGCAGCCATGAACTGAGATGGGCAAACCATGCCCTAGGGGCCTGTTTCAGGCCATAAAGAGCTTTATGCAATTTACACACGTGTAGGGAACAGAGGGTTGATAAATCCTTGGGGTTGTTACATGTATACCTGGTCATGAAGGGTTCCATGAAGGAACGCATTTTTAATGTCAACTTGCCGAAGTGACCACCCTCGAGCAGCAGCAATTAAGAGTATGAGGTGAACGATGGATGCCTTCACCACAGGACTGAAGGTTTCTTCGAAATCCAGGCCCTGTTGTTGGTGGAAACCCTTAGGTACGAGACGTGCTTTCCTCCGTTCAATAGATCCATCCGCCTGTAATTTGGTCTTGTAGACCCATCTGCAACCAAGCACATTAAGAGAGGTATTAAATGGAACTAAGGACCAGGTTTCATTCTGAACCAGGGCATCATATTCCTGTTGCATGGCATGTTTCCATTCGAAATGCTTGCGAGCTATAGAGTAAAAGCTGGGATTCTCAGGGATAGGAATTGTGGTGCTAAAACAAGCTTGAGAAGGATATTGAATGGTACCATCCATACGAACACGAGGGCGTGAGGAGTTAGTGTGTGAACAGGTCATTATAGGAGAATGAGGAGGGAAGAGCATGGGAATTTCAGAGGAATGAGGAATTGCAGAGTTAGGAATTTGAGAGGAATTGGGAATTTCATAGGAATTGGGTGAGGAGGTTGTCAAAGGCTGATTAGAGGGTCGGCCAGGGCCTGAGCCAAGCATGGATTGAGGGAAGAGTGGAAGGTGTACTTGTGAAGGAAGAGATGAGTTAGGCTGGGAGCTAGACTCAACATTCAGTGTATTAGCGGGTCGTGAGAAAGGGAATGAAGTCTTATGAAAGAGTACATTACAGGAAATGTAAAGTCTGTGGGTTTTCATGTCCAGACATTTATATCCCTTATTAGCACTGCTATACCCAAGAAAAGGACGAGGAGATGAACGATAATTAAATTTATGTTGATTATACGGATGAAGATTAGGGAAACATAGGCAACCAAACATTTTGAGAAATTCATAATCAGGTTGTCGTTTGTAAACATGGAAAATGGAGATGTATTTTGAGTATTTTTTGATGGTAACTGATTGATAAGATAAACGGCCGTTTCAAAAGCGTCGGCCCAAAAAGGAGATGGAAGATTGGCATGGGCCATTAGGGCAAGCCCAGTTTCAACGCCATGTGTATGTTTTCGTTCCACTAGCCCATGTTGGTGGGTATGTGGACACGAGAATTGGTGATTAATACCAAGTTTTTAACATATGGGGGTTAAGGGTTTAAATTCTCCACCACCGTCTGTTTGCAAGGTAATAAACTTTGTATTAAATAAATGCTTAATTAAAGATAAGAAGATAGGGAAAATTTGAACAACATCAGACTTGTATTTTAAGTGATAAAACTAGGTAAACCTGGTAAATTTGTCTACAAATGAAAGGTAATATTTGAAACGTAACCTAGAAGGAAATGGAGCCGGGCCCCAAATGTCCGCGCACACAAGCTCTAAGGGCTTAGTAGCCTTAGCCCAAGAGGATGAGAAGCCCAATTGATGAAGTTTAGCTAAGGGATAGTCAGCACAAGAGAATGTAGAGTCGGTGGAGAGTAACTTCAAGCAGTTGGTGCGCAGAAGACTTGAGACAACTGGCTGATGAGGATGACCGAGGCGAAAGTGCCACTGAGCTATGGAGGTACGTTCACCAATGTTAGATGTAGGAATGGTGGGAAAAACGTACAGCCCATTACTGACTGGCCCTATGAAGAGAGAGATCCCAGTCTTGGTATGCATTACAATAAAAAATCAGAGTGAAATTCAAAAAAGCATAGATTATCACGGCAAAATTGAGAGACACAGATGGGATTTTTGGTTATACTAGGACCATGAAGAAGATTTCGAAATAAAAATGAAGAGAAATGAGTTGAAAGAGAGGAATCACCCGTGTGATGAATAGATAGACTCGAACCATCTCCTACGTGAATCTGTTTAGCACCACTATAAGGTTCAGAGGATAGGTTGAGATTAGAGAACTCATTGGTGATGTGGTGGGTTGCTCCTGAATGTGGGTACCAGGTTGAGATTGAGCCATTGTTGGGGCTGGTGAAATTAGCTGAAAAAGTGGGAAGAGCAGCATACTGCTCAAGCTGTGATCAAATCGGTATCGGCATTGCAAGGCTTCATGTCCATATTTTTTGCAAACTTGACAGGTAGGGCGTTGATTGAAGAATCCATTTGAGAATGGAGCAGCAGACCCATTGCGGTCACCATGGTTTGATTATGGTGGTTTGCCACGACCATTTCCATTTTGGCCATGACAACCTCATATGTAGTTGCCCCTTGTTCAACCACCAGACTACGTAAAATTGGCAGAGGGCTCACTGGATATTATACTCCGTGAGGAATGAGAGAGACAACTTTCATGGATAAGGAGCAATTGATAAAGTTCAGAAGAAGAGATGGTTTATGCCCGTGTAGTAATAGAGGAAGTATATTTACAAAATTTTCAGCATGCTATGCGACAAGCCTATTGTTACATACATGAACGTCCTGGTACCTACGACGTCATTTTTGTCTGAGGAATGGAATCTTATACGACATTGCACCCATGGTGGATTCCTTGGCAAATGCTTGCATCCCTCTGCACCAAACAACTTGTTCATCTTATTAGTTAGTGTGTCAACTTTGAGTAGCCACCAAAAAACTCTTCATATAGAAACATTACAACTAAAATCAGAGATCACTATACAATTAAAGAGAAACACTTGAAATACTGAGTTAAATGTAAGAAAAACATGTCTTATTGCATTTTCCAAACACAATGGAGCACCTAATCTTGCACGGTGGATCCTGTAAAATCATTCTGATTCTATATCTTCCAGCAAGTGATTGGAAGTATTTGGTCTGCGAATGATAAAACCCCAAAAGAACGATGCATTTATATGCGAATAATGCTGTAATAGAGGGGGAAAACTTTATAAGCCGTAATAAATGAGTTTATACATATTGAATCCCAGAAAACCATTTGAATAAAAGAATAACTAAAGGAGTACCACTTCAGGGAAACGATATAATAACATGGACATTTTGACATTAGGCAAAAACTACAAGTGATGCAAGAGAATATCTAGCAATGTCGCAAAACTACCTCGCTCTTACGGTAAGAGTCTTACCTCACCTGTCACTAGGTCTGAGCATCCGAGTATTTCAATATCCAGAACTACATATTATACTTCGAATATTTCATAAATATAACATTTCGGGTCCACGTAATTACTGGAACCATCCCCGAACCATCATTTTCGATATGGGTTCAATTTCACCCATAACAAATAAATCAAGAGTTAACAATACAATCACTTTCCTAATATCTAGCAGAAATAGAAGAAAAAAATAGGCTACCAAATAAATATTTCAATACTTTTTAATCCACTACAAATATGCTCATAAATAGTATCCAATATCTAGCATAATAGCATCCAATTCTGGTCGTGGCTTTGAATGCGACGCCTCAAGAAGGATTTGTGGGGTGAGCAAGGTGTAAAATGCGGTCAGAGTGACTATGAATGAAAGTGATATGATTCAAATATTC